GACTGACCATCCCCAAGGCCCTGTTCTCAGGAATCTTTTTAAAAGTAGAGCTGATCTCAAATAACCACCTCCCATTTATTCCACACACACACACATATAGCCTCTCTCACTACTTGCCCTTCTCCCACTCACCCATATTGGGATTAACCACAAACCCCTACATCCCTCTTCTGAGCCTTTGTGCCTGCTGTTCGTTCCCCCTAGAATGTCTACCCATCCTCAAGGTTCTGCAGAGCTCCCTCCATCATGGAACTCCCTGCCTCCCTCTGCTCCAGACCCACCACCAGAACTCTCTATCTCCAGCCACATAGATTACCTTCTGCTTTTTGTTCAGGGGCCCTAGATTCCTGAACTTCTCCAAGCAAGCTCAGCCCAGGCCTAGGCAACCTGGAGCTCCTAATAGCCCAAATTACAGGGGATTAAGGAGAAAAGTAGTCATCTGGGAGGGCTGAGGCACATCTGTAATGCCAGTGATTTGGGAGGTTGAGTCAGGAGGATTGCAAGTTCAAGGCCAACCTCAGCAACTTAGTGAGGCCTTGTTTCAAATAAAAAAAAAAGGGGGGGGGTGCTGGGGAGATAGCTCAATGGTAAGGTACTACTGGGTTAAATCCTCAGTGTGGGGGTGCGGAGGCGAGGGAGAGAAGTATTCAAGAAATCCTGGCAGTGGCATTGGCTCAAGCTCCAGAGGATAGGAGGTAGGGAAGGGAGGGTGTGCTATTGTTCAAGACTCCCTCCCCCCATCCTAATGTCCCATCATCTCACCTCCGGAAGTTCTGTGCAATGTTCCACCCACACTTAGATTGCAGGGCAAGCTCTGCCCCTCTGGCTAGGCTGAGACCCCCTGAACATGGACAGAAGATTTGGAGAAGGATGGAAAGCGAAACAGACCCCTTCCTAAGATCAGGGACTTTCAAAAGCTGAGTCATTTTGTTTCTTGCTCACTTCCAGCTCCTTTCTGGAACAAGATATCTCAGCCTGTTCCAGAGCCCAGGGCCCCCCTTCCACAGACTAGTAGCTACATACCCATGTGGGCCATACCTAGACTCCCTCTGCAGGCCCCACAAGTCTGAGGTCCCATGCCTGGAGTACCATATCCTATTTTCCCCAGGCAGAGGATGCCCCCTGCAGGTCCTGGTGTAGTTGAGCTCCACAAAGGAATGAACTGAAAACAGCCGGAAAACAAACAGTTACCCAAATTATACAAGTGCCAACGCCCTCAGCCACATGTCCCACACACATACACAGGCACACAATCAATTACAGTCAATTCACTCCCCTACATCAAGAACACACCACAAACATTTAAGCAGATAATCACAATACAGATCTGAGGCACAGACACATATATGATTACACACACAGTCATGAGCACAAGGACAAACCTCTTCTCCTCAAGAGGTGTCTTTGGAAGAAATAGGTTGAGAAGCCACTTGGGAATCAAGGTATACACTGAGTGGTAAACTTGATAAAATGGGGTGGCTAAATTGCTTCTAGGTCTAATGAGGCCCACTGACTGGAGAACCCTTTATTTTGTTAGGCAGTGGAGTGGTTTTAAGTTTAGAACAGTGAAGGTAAGAGTTGGGGTAGGGCTATTTTTAAAGTAATCTATATAACTTATATGAAATCTTATTCTTAGAAATTGGATTCTTGAATTTAACAAGTCTGACTGAGCTCTGTCCTCACTGCTTCCAAAAACCTTAAAAAGAGGTCTCCTGCTGGGCACAGTGGCACACATCTATGATCCCAGTGGCTCAAGAGGCTGAGACAAGAGGACTGTGGGTTCAAAGTCAGCCTCAGCAATGGCGAGGTGCTAAGCAACTCAGTGAAACCCTGTCTCTAAATAAAATACAAAACAGGGCTGGGGATGTGGCTCAGTGGTTGAATGGCCCTGAGTTTAATCCCTGGTACAAAAAAAAAAAAAAAAGAGGTCTCCTCCTACTGGTAATACATGGAAGGTGGTGAGTAAAGAAAAGAAATGCCCCTACCCTTTCCTGAGGCCTATTGTGCATCAGGTATATGTACTACCTCACAAGGTACATTTTACAGATGAGGAAACGGACACTTGTTTTTCTTATGTGTCCAAAGCCACAGAGCCAGATTCAATCACAAGAGTTGAGTATAAAAATCCTGTCTTTTCTATTACATTAGTAATGACAAATGCAAGGTTTTTATGTGTTTTCATTCCCTACTCATATTCCCAATTGAAAAAACAAACAAACATATGTCCCTCCCATTGATCCAGACCAGGAACTGGCAAACTATAGCCATGGGCCAAATCCAGCCTTCTACCTCTTTTTGTAAATAGTTTCCCTGGAACACATTCATGCCTATTCATTCACACATTACTTATGGCTGCTTTTGAGCTACAATAGTAAACCTATGCAATTACCACAGAGACCATATTGTCCATAAAACCTTAAACATTAATTTCTGGATCTTTACAGAAAAAGTTTGTCAATCCCTGATCAAGACCCAGTTTCAGATTAGGAGCTGGAGAGTGAGAAAAGAATTCTTGACTTCAGTGTCTTAGCACTGAAAGATGGTCAGGTCCATAAATACATGGGATGGATGGATGAAACGAGGGATATATGGATAGATGGATATAGGTAATATAGCACAGAACTACTCCAAAATACTAATGCAATACTCTGCCACTTGTAAACCTTGGGAAATTAAATCTTTCTGGGCCTCTGGTTCCTCATTTGTAAAAAATAATAATAATAATAATTTAATAAATAGTATTGAGGGCTCTTTCAATTGCAAAAGTTTAGGCAAAAAGTTAAGCTTATCATGTCACATAACCAGAACTGTTAAAGATATTAAATCTCCAGCTCTGGTTGGATCCAGGGGTTCAAATGTTATCTCCATATATTATCTTACCGATTCTCTGTCATAGATGGATCCTTTTCTAATAGCAAGAAATGTAGCTCTTGTCTAAATTTTTATAATGATTTAGATAAAGCAAAGGCCCTCTGTCTTCTACTTTCCAAATTTAAAATCTTATGAAAAGCTCTGGTTAACTGTATACTTAAAATACATAATTAGTTCTTCAGTCTATCACAGTGTCCAGGGAACGGGGTACTCAGACCAGAGCACTGTGGTTGGTAGCCCTATCAAGTCCACATGAAATGGGAGAGGAGTTCTTTAAGGAATACAAGGAGTAGAAAAGTGGTCTGGGATTGGGGGTTTAGCTCCGTAGTAGATTCTGTAAGTGGACTTGGACCGATCTAGTTCTCCCTGTTTTCTCAATTGTAATTCTCAAGGATAACTGTAGAATGTGCTGGGAATGCAATGTCTTGAGATTAGAGGGAGTTGAAACAGTCTGGGCTGTGTTCTGGTGTACTTCAGAAACAGGATGTCCTTCAGCACTATAGGCTAGCTATAAACTCCAAGGTGGGTATAAACTCCAGGGTCGGCTGATTTTCAGGTCTCTCAGCTGCAGCAAAAGTGGAGAACATGGGCTGGGGATATAGTTCAGTTGGTAGAGAGCTTGCCTTGCATGCACAAGGCCCTGGGTTCAATCCCCAGCACCACAAAAGAGAAAAAAACAAGGAAAAGTGGAGAATATGCAGCTCTCCTGAGCCTTAGAGGCCTGGCTCACAACAAACCTAGGTTTCATGTAACTTGTCACGTATGAGTGTGTTGTCTCACAGGACTGAGATACATTGGTTAACAACTGATCCACCTGCTTCACAGGTCTCCCTGATCTCTACTTTCCTCTCCTCAAAAATCCCTTTCAGCAGGGTGGGGGCTTAGCTCAGTGGCACAGCACTTGCTTAGTATGTGTGAGACCCTGGGTTCAGTTCTCCCCACTAAAGGAAAAAAAAAAAAATATCTTATCAATCCCTAAGGTAGGGAGAGGTGATAGAGTTGTTTGGAGCCAGATTTCCCTCTAGATATTCCTCTCATGGAGCACAGAAAAATGGGTCAATAGGAAAGAGGGACACTGCTGGCTAACCCAGGAAGGAGGAATTCTAGAGGTCAACAACGTGGAGAAGAGAGCTAGATTTGCTTCCAAAGAGCCTTCCTTTAGCTTTGTTTCTCCAAGGGTGGAGTGGATCTCAGATGATGAATGTGAAGCCACTGTGATAGGCTTACGCAGAGCTGGAGAATCTGAGTGGGGGTCTTCTCCAGCCTTACCCTGCTCCTATGATTATGGGAGATGGGCTATGTCCTATCTTTCCCACTTCTACCACCTCCTATATCTTGGGACTAAATCTCTACTCCTGACTTCCAGCCTTGAAACATAGTTCAATACCTCCAAGAGGGCAACTTCACAAAACTTCTAAGGACAACAATGAAACCTCACACACACAGTGTCCAAACTGCTGATTGCTGAGATTGTTAGAGCTGAAAGTAGAGTGAGAAATGGGTGCAGGGAGGCTACTGAGAAGAGTTATAAAAAGGAAAAAAGGCTGAGCACAGTGCAAATGCCTGTAATCCCAGCTACTCAGAAGGCTGAGATAGGAGGATCACAAATTCAAGGCCAGCCCCTGCAACTTAGTCTCAAAATTAAAAATAAGAAAGGGATGGTATGTAGCTCAGCAAGCAAGGCCTTGGATTCAATTCTTAATATCTGGAAAAAAAAAAAGAAAAATAAAATCTTCTGCAAAGAAACCATAGGGGAGCATATCCAGCAAGGTGTTTCGCTATTAACTCATGTTGCGTTTGATTCTGACATTAACCATCCACCGGCAGCATGAGACCCCACAGATTTAGGGGGAAGGTCTCTAACAAGACTGTGCGCATGGTGGTGCATACCTGTAATCCCAGCAACTCAGGAGGCTGAGGTAGGAGGATCTTGGGAGGCTGAGGCAGGTGGATCACAAGTTTGAGGCCAGCCTCAGCAAATTAGGGAGACCCTAAGCAACTTAGTGAGAACTTGCCTCAAAATAAAACTTAAAAAGGGCTGAGGATGTAACTCAATGGTAAAGCACTCCTGGGTTCAATCCCCAGTATCCCCCCCAAAAAAAAAAAGTAAACTCACTCAGAAAATTCAAGAAAGTGCTATTTACAATTGTTTATAAAGGGTGTAAGTCAGTAATGTCCAAATGAAAAGACACATAGAATAAAGTCTGGGAGAATGCCAAATGCAGGGCTTTCGTGCTTTCACTGGGGACATAAGATATGTATTGCCCTCCTGACACATCAATATGTTTGTCAACCAAGAAGTTCTGTGAGCTTTGGTGTCCAATTTTTATTGAGATACCATTACATAGCCTTGGTTGAATTTTTGGCCACATACCAAAGTCAATCTCCAGCCTCTCTCTCCTTTCCAAGGTCTGGCTGACTTAAAAGTGCCAACCCTCTAACCATGATTGTTCTTTATGGTGACAAGCTCCCATCCTGAGTCATCTCATCTTTTAGCATAAACTTACCTAAGGGGCTCACGAATACCAAAGGCACTCAATTACATATACTCCTAAACTTCCACTGGGATTATGATCCTAAAAACCTATCATAAGTTGAAAATATCCTAAGTCTAAGCATCATAGTTTATCATAGTGTACTCACTGCAGAGCATCAGTTATGTATCTTCATGATCATATGACTGGGAGCTGGGACTCACTGACACTGCCCAGCATCTCAAGGAGTATTGTAACACATATCACTGGGATAGGAAAAAAATCAATCTTCAAAATTTGAAATATTGAATGCATGCAGCTTTTGCACCATTATAAAGTCAAAAATTCCTAAGTCAAATCATCATGAGTCAGGGACCATTTGTACTTGAGAAATTCCAGAGTTTTAATCTCCTCAAAAACCAGTGATAAATGCCAGTCTTTGCCCCTCACAAAAAAGCTTTCTAGGAAGCTGGGTCCCAGGGCTCCATTCTCTCTGACTTCTGACTCCAGGTTCACCATAATGAGGGTCCATTAGCTTTGAGCACCCCAGATAAGCCTGGGGTGTGCCACATTATCCAGAAACTGAAGAAGTAGTCCTTTGCCAAGACAAAACCCTCAACCCTGCTTCCAACTTCCAAGGCCCTATTGAAGATTCTACCCAACCAACCCAGGACTTTGCCTCTCCTTCCTTCCCAAGAGCAAGCCCCATGTTAAACAATGACAACACCAGAGGAAGCCCTTGCCTAAGTGAAGGGAATCTCCTTGGCCTGGAGAACCAAAGACCAGAAGAAAAGAACAGGCTGCTCTGCACCAGACCTGACTCAACCAGAGCAGAAGTACCAATGTGTGAACAAGAGTGTGAGTGTGGCAAGATCACAGCCTCTTCATGTCTAAACTGCAGTGCTTCCAATAAAGCCACCTGGCATTCACTGTTTAACCTATCTGTTGTTTGTATGTAGTGCAGGCTCGGGAAGATGGATATGAGAGAGAATAAAGGTGTCAAATGGGTGAAAGGGTAGTGTATCCATTCCTTCCATTTCAGGTGAGGAAACTTTCCTCTTGCTCATTTTGGGTCATTCTCTCCTATACAACCAGTCCAGCCATAAGACTCTTTTTTTGCTTCTCCAAGACAAACTGTAGGTGAGTAGTGGGCCTTGGCTGGAACGTCAGAGATCTGAGGCAGCTATTTCCAAACTGCTACAATGGGTTAATGCCCTTCTTGACTCTGGTGCAGCATCCTCTATCTTCCCTAGCCAGCCTGTTCCATTTATTGTAATGATCTAATTGTCTTCTTTTGACTGTCCCAGCTCTACCCCAGATGATGGCTCTTCGAAGGTGCAGACTGCATGTATTCTTTCACACTATATCTCCGTGTTCAGCACAGTGCCTGCATGAAGTAGACACTCAGTACATAGCTGTTGATTGAATGTCTATAAAAAGAAAAAGAAAAGTACAGGAAGATCAGTCTCAGCTCAAGAGAGGAAGGGGTACATCTATCTGGCCATTAAGTGACTTGGCCAAGACCACTCAGATATGTTTCCACAGCCTAGCCTGCTCTAGACTGGGTTCTATAGGGAACCCATTCCTTCTCAGGCTAGGATCACCCAAGGAAGGGGAACAGGGTAGGCAAGAATGGCAACTGGCATGGCAGAAGCCAGGGAGGGGTAGTGGGGACTGGGAAAACTGTTGGACAGATTCCCAAAGCTGTTTCATTACTGCCAAATGCTAAAGCCTCAGCCTCCCGGACTGTAACTCCAAAATCTGACGACATCCCTGTAAGAGGATTCTATGCCCCGCATTTAAAAAAAAAAAAAAAAAAAAAACCTCAATTCCTCCCTTTAATGATAGACCCTAACTCCACCTCAGAATGTAACATATTGATTCCGCCTTCTCTGAAAAAAGTTCTGGCTCCGCCCCTTCCGGGTGATAGGCAAGCCCCACCCCCTAGTGTGGAAAAGCGTCCCTGTGACGTAATGGTAACGGTCCGTTTCCGGGGTGGAGCTAGGGAGGGCGGGAGTTTAGGCTGCGCCGACCCCTCAGCCCCCCTCCAGGTGACCCTAGCCCTTGGAAACCCTCACCCAAGGCCCCCAAATCTCCCAGCCCCATAATCGCCAAACCCCTTGCCTTAACCCTCTACATGTCCCAGACCCCCGAGATAATCGTCCTCTTAAAGCCTTAACTTCTGGTGTCTCCCAAATCTTTAATCCCACCCTGTCCCGATGTGGCAATTGTCTTCCGGGGCACCTACTTCAGATTACCTGCGATTTAATCAGACTCATCCCAAGAATGACGGAGAAGGGGACCTGGGGCTAGGGAATATTTGATCCAATCATGCCTCTCCCCAGGAGACGTTCGGAACCCAGGACATGTCGGGATTGAGGAGATACGAGGTGGCGCTGGAGGCGGAGGAGGAGTGAGTGGAGGCGGGGTTCTGCGGAGGAGGAATCAGGCGGCTCCGGGTGGGGGAGGGTGCGCGTTCTCGGGGGAGGGGGGCGGGACCGTAAGGGGCGTAGGCCACAAATGGAACCGCCTTTGTGGGGGCGGAGCCTCCCCCGAGATCGAGGCGTCCGGGGGCGGAGTCTGAGGGGTCAGCCCCGCCCCGCCCGGCCCGGCCCGGTTCTGCCTTCTTTCTACAGGATCTACTGGGGCTGTTTCTACTTTTTCCCCTGGCTGCGAATGTGGCGCAGGGAGCGGAGGTGAGGGGCTGCGATCCCGAGGGCCCTCCAGGGGCATGGACGAGACTCAGTCTCGGAGGACGGATAGTGGGGTGGGAATCTGGGCGCCCCGCCTCACCTCATGCCAGTATCGGGTTGTCCTACAGCTCTGCGCACCCCCGAGAGCAGAAGCTGGAGCCTCTGCGGGGCCTGATGAGCTGTCTGTCGAGCGGCCTGGGCCCTGCTCCCCATCGCTCAGGTCGTGGCCTCCTCTGCCGCACCCCTGCCACCGCTGCCCAGACAGCCGGTGCATTAAAAATTTAAAGCGAAGCCCACCATACTGCCTTCCTGACTCTGCCGCCGCTGCCACCATTCGATGCCATCATTCGAACTGGGAGCCCCTCTCCACACCTATTTACATACCGACAGGATCTTCCTCCCTGGTGGGGTGCTTTTTCATATCAACCCCCCCCCCGCCCCCATGCCTAAGGGGCTCCTATCAAGTCAGGCTTCCTGTTACTATCAAAAGTGACTGCTTTCCTGTGCCCCCACCACCAAAAAAGAAAAAGAAAACAAAAACAAAGAAAAAAAAACCTCCCTTCACTGTCAGTAGTCTTATATGGAGAGAAGTAAATAATCCTGGCCGGATCTCCCTGTCCACCTCATCCCCATGCTGATATGTTCCCACAGCTCCATCTCTCGGTTACCACCTTCCCCCTAGCCAGAATTTTGCTGGGTATCTGAAGAATCTTCCCTTCCTGGGAATGAATCTAAAACACTTTAAGCCAGGGTTGTAGGGAGTAGGCTGACAGAGGAGGGGTAGATTCCTAAGAAGCTGTCTCTTCACAAAAGCTGCCTCTTCATGTAACCTGCCTCAGGAGACTGATGTGGGTTGGAGGCCTTTCCTACAGTTAGTACCCCAACCTGGCTTCTCCAGTCTGATCCCAATTTTAGATATTCTTAGCATTAACCCACCTAGCTGTTATTGATACTTCCCTAGTAAAGTCCAAGGGCCACTGCTCCCTGCCATCCCATTTTACTGTGTTGCTCAAATCAACCTGGGATCCACTAACTCCCAAAGTGGTGGGACTACTCCCAAAGCGGAGGTCTACTATGTTAGCCTGCTTTTAGTTAGGGACTAACCTCAGCATTAGAAAGGACACCAGGGTATTAAGTTACAGAGATAGCCCAGTTTCTAGCTGGGACCAATGACTTTCAGCCTGGGCTGCCCCTTCGACAGCAGACTTGGCCTGATCTTTGGAAAAGCCAAAGGGGAGAGATGGGTGTACACCTAGAATTTGTTTTCTGCCTTCCAAAGTTCTCTGGAATTGACAAGTCCAGGAAAGATCACAAAAGTGTATGACAGGCAACCAACTGATGAAGAAGGTTTATGACAAGATGATGGGGATCTTGGGGAAGTTCCTCAGAAGTTCTTCAGTGGCTACACCCAAGCTTTGGGGCACAAGTCCAGACTGGGAGTGAGAGAGGGATCCTAAGGTCTCTGGTACCAAAGATTCAAGATGAGTCACCTCTAGGTTATCTCTTTGAAGAAAGCAACAAAGCTCTTAAGCTATTTCTTAACAATGTCCACATCACAGACCCCTTCAAATGTGGAATGCTCTCTCAAGTCCTGGACCTACACCTCGCCAAGATACTGTCAGAAGACCTGAAGAGCCCTGAGACAAACTCCAGGGAAGGGCCTTCACACCTCAGCCTGGACAGAAGGAGAGGGTCAGGTTTTCAGCCTGAAGGGGGACTAGTCCCTACTCTGGGAGCTGACATCTTTCCTGTTGAAGCAGTCCTATAACAGAAACAGTGCTCAGAGAAGGTGTGACTCTATCCCAAAAACCTACCCCTTAGAGGATGACTGTCCCCAAATCAGAAGACTAGAAAACACCCTGAAACATCCAGATAAGGACTGGGTTAATGGGTTATGACTCAGTTTATGTCTCAAATACAGTGCAAGACTTGAGGGTGGAAATCCCAAGATCAGGAGTGAGTGGGACATTTTGCAAGGACCTGGGCCACTAACCCAACAGCCTGTCCCCATCCCTGCCCTACCCTAGGTAGTTGCCAGCATTCTGGAATGCACTAGATGAGGAAGGGTAGGAGGGTTGCTTTGGGGGAGGGAGAAGAGGAGGAAGGCCTAGGTGTGGGATTGGGAAAGAAGGATAGGAAGGAAATACAGTAGGGGCTTCAGTGACAGGATGGGAGGCAGAAGGTGTAGGGGTTGGAAAAGTGTGTATTACTGAGCCAGGCAGCAAGCGGGTAATGTTTCTCTAGGCCCACAGTGGAAAGAGGCTGGAATTCAAATAGAACAAAAGAGATGTAATTTTGTTTTTGAGTCTGATGTCTCCCAGTAAGCCAGGGGCTGAGTCTGGAAGTCCAGACCCCTACTGACAAGCTGACATTCCTGCAACAGAACTAGGCAAAACCAGGAAGGTAAGATTTCTTGGGCCTTTCACTGTTTTGACATCGGCACCAAAGAGTTTTTATCTCCCCTCCTCATCACCTTACTTTTCCTCCTTGTCTCATCTTCCTGGGGAAAGCATCCCCTATTCAGCATCCCCAGAGTACTCTCAAAACTATCAAAAGGGCCTTCTCCCAGCTTCTCTGAATGTGTCTGGTCCCAGCCAAGATCCCTCCCTCAGCCCGAAGGGCCTTCTTTAGGGACCCATGCCCATCAACTTCTGATAAGACAGACATGCCAGAACAGGAAGTGGGGAGGCAGAGATGAAGGCAAGTTAGTGCTAGCCTGCTTTCTGCTCCCACCACCCACAACACCCCCATCGGAATGTGTGTGTGCTAGTATGATTGTGAGTGTGATTGGATGATTATGGAAACACAACTATATGGGAGTGGGAATTTGAGTTTAATTGGGGCTGTATGATTTTGTCTATGACTGTCCAATCATGAGTGTGACTTTGTGAGCTTATTTGAGTGACCAAGGTGTGACTGTGAATGAGGCCATGGATATATGAGTATGAATGTCTCACATTACATGCTACTGTGGACCCTTAGCTGTCGTTAGTCACTGTATGTCAGTCCCCACATCATGCACTATCCCTCTGCCCTACTTCTCTGACCAGGGCTTAGGAGCCCATGGGAAATGGCAGTACTAGAAGACGAAGGGGTCTATGTCTCCAGGCCAAAATTTAAGGCTCTGGAGTGTCACAAGATAAGCACTGCCTCTTCACCTGTCTCTGACTCACCTGGTGCCCCAGGTAAAATACACTCAGATAAAAGGTAGGACAGGAGGAGGAGAGAGAGGAAAGTGTCTAGGCTAGGCTAAACAGCATGAAGTGGCTCTCGCCCACCAGCAGCCTCCTGCTGCTATTGTTGCTCCTAAGCCCAGACCCTGGAGCAGGTAAGTACCTGGGGATAGAAGTCTGGGAATCTAGGTGAAGGGACTGAAGGGAAGGGGCCCAGGAAGTCCATCCTTCAGCTATCTAATGAAGCAGTTCTGGGTCTGGATCCTTCTAAACACACGGAATTGTCCCATAGCTTTGCTACTGCCACCCAGCACTACCTGCTGTACTCAGCTCTACAGACAGCCACTCTCCAGCAAGCTACTGAGGAAGGTCATTCGGGTGGAACTGCAGGAGGCTGATGGGGACTGTCATCTCCAGGCTTTCGTGTGAGTTCTGACCCCACCCTTGGATACCCAATACCTCAATCCCAACTTTAGCCCCAACTGCTAAATCTGATACCAACTTGGGTTTTCACATCTTACTCTTATCCCTAAGCCCTGGACCCTAACCTCATCCCCAAGCTGTGGACATAGCTTTGGATCTTTTCCTTCCCAGGCTTCACCTGGCTCGACGCAGTGTCTGCATCCATCCCCAGAACCGCAGCCTGGCTCGGTGGTTTGAGCGCCAAGGGAAAAGGTTCCCAGGGAAAAGGCTTCCTGCCTGAATCTGATGCTACAAGGGAAAATGGGCTGGAGTCCCCAACAGCCAAAATAATAAAGCAAGATTAGACAATGATCTGAGTGTGATATAGAACAACCTCCTCATTCTCTTTATTTTGCATCTTCATAGCCCCTGCAAGGGGCAAGGCCAAGAGTCAAGGACCCACACACGTTCTTCAGGCACATACATACATATATACATACATACATGCAGAGAACACATTCTCCCTACTTCACATACACATGGTCACACACGGACACAGACAGGCACATTCCTCAGGTGGACCTCCAGTTCTGGGATGAAGTCAGAGGTTCTGACACCTTTCAGCTGGCACATTTGGAATAAACTATTTCAAAGAAATGGGATCCAGACAGAACTTCCAGCTGATAGCACTGTCCAAAGGGATCTACATTCCTGCTTGGTTCTATCTGTCCCTTCATCCAAACCAGCAAGACAGACTTATAGGTGAATCAGCTGAAGTTCTTCTGGGTCCTCTACAGGTTTGGAGCACCTAAAAGAGCAGGAGGCAAATCAGGAGAGCTAGCAGAACTGGGTCTTAGTCTAGACATCTGAGAATGAGCGGAGCGCAGTTCTGAGCTCAGCACTCAGAAGGAATATGGGAGCCCAATTCAGAGAGCCCCAACACCCAAAAATGAGAAAATAGCTTTAGGCCCAGGCACATCAAAAATGAGTGAGGGTTGGGCTGGGGATGTGGTTCAAGTGGTAACGCGCTCGCCTGGCATGTGCGGGGCGCTGGGTTGGATCCTCACCACCACATAAAAATAAAGATGTTGTGTCCACCGAAAACTAAAAAATAAATATTAAAATATTCTCTCTATCTTTAAAAAAAAAAAAAAAAGAATGAGTGAGGAGACCAAGCACTGATCTAAGACATCCCAAGAAAAAGGATGGCTACCCAGTTTTGATCATTAGACTCAGGTATTAGCCCTGAAAATGAGAAGGGGAGAACATCTAGAATCCTCTGTACCCTGAGAGGGAGCAGACCCACTTCTGAGCCAACAGACTTGAATGAAAAGGCCAACCCCAGCCTAGAAGAATGAGGAGATCCAACTCAGATTTATGGCACCCTTAAAATTACCAGCTCATCTGGCTCTTAAACCAAACACTCTCAAAATGTGAGCATACATCATCAAGTCCAAACCATTTGGAGGTCCTACTCACCTGGAAGCTTGTCCACTGGAATCATTGGGGCCAAGAACTCAGGCTTTTGGGGTCCATCCTTCCCTCCCCGTCTCAGCCTCAACCTGGGCACAAAAAGGCAGCTGTCTCCCTGACATGGTGGGGCATCTCAGTCTCCTCCAAAAGGGTTTGTTAGTAAAGGGTCAGGAGAGGAATCAGTGGGAATCATAAAGTGGGGTGTGGGAGGTCAAAGTGGGGAGAGGTAGCTCCAAAAACAGATTAAGTGGTAAGGCATGAAGGTTGGGGATGAATATGGTCTCTGGGGATCAGATCATCTGTGGAGATTTAGACAGGAATCAATGACAGTCACTTACCACAGCCCCAGTGCCAGGGCCCCAGCTGCCAGTCCCAGGAAAGAAAAGATTCCTAAAGACACTAGCATAGCCACCTGCTCCAGGGGGTCCCTGTGATCTGAGGGGAGGACCATATACCACTATGAGAGTGAACCCAACCAAGCTCAGGTGGGGTATGTCCTTTTCTCAGGGCTTTTTGTCCTCTACAACCTTTGTCCATCTATCCAAACTCACCAAGCGGCCGCGGGTCTGGCTGTAGAGAGGGCCTTGGAAGAGCAGGGCTGTCCACATGAGCTACTGTCTCCACCTGCATTTGTAGCTGGCTCTCATCAGGTACTTCTTTTGGCAGGGGCCCTTGAGGGAAAGCGAGACCTGAGAAATGTCCACAAATGTGCACAGACAGTGGGGGCAGGAGCCAGGCCTTGGGTTGCACTTAGGGGTACCACTTGGGTCACACTTAGGAGACAGATCCTGAAAGGGCATGGCCAGCTTTGGGGGACTTGGTTGGTAAAAGTAGAGCCTGCAACTACAGAGATGGAGACCAGGGGCAAGGTTTAAACTAAGGCAGAGCTGCAGGCCACAGGGCCTGAGAAATGGGATAAAAATCTCAATCAGAGCCTACATGGGTGAGGAGTATGTCACTGGGCTGCCTTCAGTGAACCAATACAGCTGACAAATGCTTGGGGTGGGTCCTCTGCCCTTTTCTTTGACTTTGTCCCTCACCAGTACTGGGAGTCCCCCAGACCTCAGGGCTCCAGGCACTCCAGGTACCAGCATCCAAAAAATCCCGGGCACTGACTCGGACCGCATGAGGCAGCCCAGCCACAGCATCAGTGATCACCTCTTCCATGCCAGCTGGCTCCACCTGGGGAGAAAATGATTTCTCAGTGCATTATCCAGGTCATAAGCACAGAGCTTACCTAGTCACAGTCTGAAAAGAGCTCCCTTTCCTCCCAGTCCTGCCCTATCAGCCTCATAGGGGGGGTCCAGGCCTCATGTAGGGTAGCTGATGAGGTAGAGTCTACCCCTGGTGTTTGGAACACAGTAGTGTGTCGTGATTACCTAGATAGGCTGTGGCATCATTCTGTCTGGGTTCAAATCTTTGCTAAACCTCTTACTGGGTGAATGAATTTTGGGCCTCTCTGCCTCAGTTTCTTCATTTGTGAAATGAGGATGAATATACCTAAGTGTGATGATGTATGTAAAACATGTAGCACAGTGATCAGTTGGCAGACAGCATTAAAAATGGGTTATGATCCTCCACTGACTTCACAGACTGAAGCAGGAAGATTTTGAATTCAAAGGCAGCCTCAGCAACCCTGTCTCTAAGTAAAGTAACAAAAGAGGGCTAGAGGTTTGGCTCAGTGGCTAAGTACCACTGAGTTCTAACCCTAGCACCAATAAATAACAAACAAATAAATAAATAAATTTACAATACATAAAGATTATTAACAAAAAGATGAAAATACTTATTACAATAATCTGATTACTACTACTTATATAGATGTACTTAATTACATAATGTACCCCATAAAATGAATATATAAAATATATATTAAAGAGTTCTCAGTAACTTCATAAACAGTTGTGTAAAAGTTTTCTAAAATAAATAGAATTTCATCTGTCATGATTCTAAAGATGTCAACATATAATTTGTATACTTTCAGAAAATTTAAAAGCATCTTAGTGGATTGGGTTCAAATATTTTTCTTTTTCTTTTCTTTTCGTTTCTTTCTTTCTTCCTTTTTTACCCACAAATTACACCCAGTGGTGATTAATCATTGAGCCATACTCCCAACCATTTATTTATTTGTTTGTTTGTTTGTTTATTGAAACAGGGTCTCAGTAAGTTGCTTAGGCTCTTGATAGTTGTTAGAGAATGGGCTCAAACTTTTGATTCTCCTGCCTCAATCTCCCAAGTAGCTGAAATTACAGGTGTGTTCCACATTGCAATTCATTCAAAGAAGGAGGAGGAGTTCTTGCTATTGATTCAATTAAGCATCAGTCTATGCTGCTCACTGTTTCAAGGGTATGTTGCCTTATGTAGCAACAGTTTCTTCATTTTCTGGTTGATATGTTTCATAAGAGATCAAAATGTAAAATTCAAATGGTAGAGAAATATATGAAAAATGTCTGGCCTTAATAATTCACGCCATAAAAATTATGGATTTTTAGTATTATTTTAATAAGAAAAAGAAAAAATATTAAAGTTGCATTTCTAAATAGATGTCTGTATTTTATGTCACTGAATATATCAAAAGATGTACTGTGGGAAATGTTGAAATATTATATATATCTTATATTCTACTGCTTCATAATATTGTTCCTTTTGTGTGGTAATTTTAGATTTAAAATTATGACCTAATAAACAACTGAAAATTGAAAAAAAAAAAAGGGTTATGATCCAATCCTGCTGCTCCCTAGACCTGACATTAATCTCTGATATCTTCAGAGGTGGGAATTCACTACTATTCTCAGATTTGTATGAGTGTTTGAATGAGGATATGCCTCTGGGTACAAGGTATTTCTCTTCCAAGAAAAGTTCTTTTTAAAAAACCACTGCTATCTTCCCATAGATAGGTTTACATCATAATTATAGCCCTGCGGGGCAGAGGCTCTGTCATCCCAACTTCAACCCTAGCATCCAACACAACACCTGGCCTACAGGGAGGCATCAGGTCTTCAGGCACCTTCTAGCACCTGGAAGGTATGCAGAACGCACAGTATCACAAAACCAGAGACAGATTCAAGCCTCACCGTGGACCAGGCTGGATGCTGTGCTGGACGGTACTGCAACCGGAACTTAAGCAGGAAGTGGGGCTGGCGGGGCCAGGAGGTGGGGTATGTCCAGCTGGCACGCAGACGTCGCGGGTAACCAGGTACTGACTCCACCCGCAACCCCTGGGGTGGGTCAGGGCGCACTGAGGGTGATAATACACAAAGTCAGGTTAGGCAATAGGTACCCATCCCTCTCATACCACTTCCTGAGATGTGTGATTAACAGCACCCTAGCCAGGTGCTTTCAAGAGGGGAGGATGGAATCTTAAACTTGATTATCCATGAGGCTCAGACAGGCCCTGTCTATCATCCTTATTTAAAAAAAAAATAAGCTGAGATCAGGAGGTAGGGTTTTGAAATGTTTGTTGAGTGAATAAAAAAGAAATTCTTCTTTCTATCCAAGGAAGATGAATTGGCTGAAATTCTTATCAGAGTTTTAGTGCCCACCTTCCACAGACAGATCAAAAGGAGAGGCCAGCAGGGGCTTTCCTTGGGCAAGAAAGACATTAGATTCAGCTGTTTCAGCATAAGGCCTAGATACAGGTGGTCAGCTCTGAGGCTAGGCAGGAAAGACCTATGAGTAATAAATAGCAGCAGCCTTTAGAGTGTGTGCAGAAGTAATCAAGCCTTCTGGGCTCTGATCCTTTTGACTTCTTGGTCTCTAAGGGGCCATCTGTATGTGGAATGGAATCTATATGGGAATTGTTTGGGAGCTGAGGGTGGAGGAACTAAGTCTGTTTGGTGTCTCCCTGGTGGGGATCTGAGAAGTGTAGAGGCAGGTACTCACAGATATTCTGCAAGCTC